TGTAAGAAGAGCTGTAAATATTTATTTATTTATTTATTTATTTATTTAATTCATACTTAATACTAAAGCCTCCAAGGCCAATTAATTGTATTAATAAGGTACTCAATACCAAGTAGAAAAAATAAAAATAACTTATAAAAAACTATCACATTATTTAAAATCAAGATATAAAAGGCTCCCCAGCCAAAACTACAGAAAGAAAATCAAAAGTAAAAAAATGAATCAATAGGGGCATCATAACCAACAACAAGCAAATAATTTTTTTTTTTTTTTTTTTTTTTTTTTTTAAGGAAGGTAACCATAAATTTGACTATAAAGAAAATTAAACCATTAAAAAAGGGTAAAACGAAGATAATAAAAGCTCAAAACAACGAAACTAAATGGGATGAATACCAGGATACAGGACATGATTCAAAACTTTTAAACGAAAGGCATTATTAGAATGGGAAAAAATTCTAAGCTCAATAGGTAGATAATTCCACAAACGTGCAATACGTACAACAAAGGACTTTTCAAATGTTAAGTTATTTATTCTGGGTATTAATATCTGAGTACTCCTGGTTGACCTGGAAAAACTGAACATGTTAGCCAGAAACCTAGGAACTCCACCTCTGATTGTTTTGTAAAAATAATGCAATAACTTAACGGATAAAAATTGTTCAAAAGAAACTCCCAAGAAATCTATAACAAAATTTGAGATGTGATCACGTCTCTTCAAACAATACACAAATCTCACGATAGCATTAACTATACGCTTAACTCTTAAACAAAAACTATTTATCGTACCAGATACCAATTCAAGCCCATAATTAATATGAGGCATTAAAAGAGCATTCGCCAACCTCTTTTTAACCCACAATGGTAAAAATAAATTGGTGCCATATAATCTGCGAATAATAGCAAAAACTCTCCTCTGAACGGAACCGATATGAGTCTCAAAAGAAAGTTTCTCATCTACCAAAATACCCAACATTCTATGACAGCTTACAAAACTAATGAGATTACCATCGAGAGCAATATTGAGATTATATGCATGACTGCCAAACTTAAGAGCCTTTGTCTTTGACGGATTCAAAACCAGAGAATTTTCAAAACACCACTGTCCAATATGAACAAGACAATTATTAATTTCGCTTTCAAAAGCAATAGGGTTAATATAAGAATTAGTAAAAACGAGAAACACATCATCCGCATATAAGAGAGGAGTGCAATTCTCACCATAACAACACTCAGAAAGGCTATTGACATATAAAATGAAAAACAAAGGGCCTAATACAGAGCCCTGCGGAACACCGCACGAAAGCAGTGACACACTTGAAGATCTATCATTGTAGTAAACGAATTGGGATCTACCGGACAAATATGATAGAATAAGGTTACAAGCTGTCTCAGAAAAATCGAACTCATACATCAGTTTCCAGAGTAAAATTTGATGAGAAAGAGAATCAAATGCCCTTGTTAGATCCAACGAAACAACTACAGTATCTTTTTTAAGATTCGAGTTATATCTCACTAAGTCAGTTAAGTACAGAAGCAAACTGGTGGTATTATGATTCCTACGGAATGCAAATTGACCATTATATATCTTGCTTGCAACATGAGCAAGTATTTGGTCCTTCATAACATGCTCACACACCTTAGCCATCACAGGGAGAACTGAAATAGGCCTGAGATCATCAGGGCTATGAACAACATTCCCCTTCGGAATTGGAACGACACGGGCTTGCTTCCACAAACAAGGAAACACAGACAACATCAAAACAGAATTAACCAAATCCAAAACAATATCACACACATAAGGAAAAATTAGTTTTAAGAAATCCACAGGTATTCCATCAACTCCGACAGATTTAGACTTTATTCTGCTAAGTGCAACAATAATTTCTTCCATACGAACACAACTAAAAGAAAATCCATCACTGCGTGCGTTCGAAAATTGCAAATCAATATTAGGCATATGTGAGTTCCTATGTTGAAAAAAATAGTTTAGATCATCAACATCAATGTCAAGAAACACATCATCACCACCAATACAACCCGAAGCCCTAAAAAAACGCCACATAGCAGTTGAACCCAACGTATTAAATTTCTTAGAGTAATACTTTCTACGCTCACGACGAATAACTAACTTCGCTCTATTACGATAACGACAAAAAATTTTCCAATTATCATTGCTTTTATTATCAACGTAAGCCTTAAAAGCCAAATCGCGAAGTGATCGGGCAAGTGTAATATGATTTGAACTAATCCAATTATCTTCAGATCGCATTTTTCTACGTACCAAAGGAACAAAATCAAACAACCCCAAAAAAAGATTTGATATTTGAGAACATTTAGCGTCAACATCCACAACATTCAGAATATCAATATTAAAGGCTGATAGATGAGAAAAAAAACCCGGCCAGTCAATACAAGAGTAATCTCGATACTCAACAAAATCGCAAAAAGTATTAACACCTATATTTAACGATGCAAAAATGAGTGAATGGTCAGATATCGATGGACATATTGCCTGATCAGACAGATGTACCATAGCACAATCATTTACCAGCATAAAATCAAGCAGCGAAGACGCACGATGTGTAACATCATAGTGAGTAGGTTTGGAATTATGGAAAACTGACAAGTTTAACCGGAAGCAGACTGAACGGACAGACGTAGATTTATGCGGATCAAACATATTAGCATTAAAATCACCCACTATAACAATTTTTGAATACTCCAAGAATAAATCGCTGTGAATATCTTCAAAAACATTAATATCACCTGGAGGAGGAAGATACACAACACCACACAGAACCTTTTCATCGCCAGACATAACCTCAATAAAAAGCGATTCGCATTTACCTATCACAGAAGATCTGAAAACGACTTTATGAGAAATATCACTAGAAATATATATACCAACACCACCACCTCTAGAGTATCGACGGTCATTCCTCACAAATTTATACCCAGGTACATTTATTGCACTAGTTGGAATATCAGATTTTAGCCAAGTTTCGGATACACCAAGAAAATGCAAGCCTGATCCCGATAAAATAGTTTTGAGCTCACAAAACTTCGTTGAATTCATAGATGGCCTAATACTGCGTGAGTTTATATGAGCCATATTGAACTTATTACTACATGAAATTAAAACGGATTTAATATAATCATTGTTGCTGATCACCGGCCCCAAATTAGTACTAAAAGACATCAAATACATAAGACGTAGTTGTGGCGGGGAACCAATTATAAGAATTCAACAGAATTACACTAATAAAATTTAATTTCAAAAAATTCATTAAGAAAAATAAATACAATTTAACGCAGCTGAATACTACAAAATGTATAAAAGAATAAAATGATCAAACACACAAACAGGATAAGAAATTGAAAACAATTAAATTAATGGAAAATTAAAATAATTAAGAAAAAAAATCAATAGAAATTTTAATTAGAAAAAATTATATTCATATATAAATTCAATTCCCATTGCCTTCCGAATCCGCAAGCAATGACTCACATTGACTAACGTTGTAAGTATCCTCTCTACCATCAGGAAAAACCAGCCATGCCTTTACGAGATCAGAATTCAAAATCTTAAATTTTTTGACTACTTTAAGGCGACACAGTTTCTTGCAGACAAAGTTTAAATGTGATGCAGCAGGCGAAAAATGATCATTAAGGTACACCCTGTTATTTAAAGCAACACCTTGGGCACCCAGTAGATCGCAGATTCGAAGATTACGAGTTTTAAAATATTCCCTCATCAAACTATCACGCAACGCAACTTTGTTAAATTTAACAAGAATCTGTTTCCTACGATTAATATAACATACATGATTGATGTCCTGGCTGGTTATAGGTATGTTATAGAATGATCCCAATGCAATAACAGGCAACTCCAAATCATCCAAACCTTCAGGCAACCCTCCTATGAGGATGTCAGGCCGATTCATCCGTTTATGCATAACGTTGTCTTCCCTCTCAAGCGCAACAAACTTCGTGGCAGTAGAAGCTTCAATCCGCTGCACATTGTCGCTACATTGCCTGATGTCAGTCCTCATTTCAGCAATACATGAACTCACTTCCTTCTTTATGTCATCCAAAACAACTTTTAGACTATTTTGCTGCGACTGGTAACTAGCAATAAAGTTATCTAATTTAGCAGTCAGACTATTAATTTTGTCAACGACACCATCACTGGTAGAGCTGCTGCATAAATTCGGCTCACATGAAGGGCAAATGTAAGCAAACGATTTTACCGACTTCAATACATTTAAGTTTTTGTCATCAATGTTTGCACAATGAGTATGAACCCAGCAGTTGCAAGCTTTACAAAGAACACTAGGCTGTGTCTTCGTAACATTATAGTTACAAATTTTACATTTGGCGGCAGGCATAACTGAGGTTATTAGCAAACAGCAACAAAAAAACAAAATGTCCAGAAGAAACCACAAATGGCAGCAACAAAGCAACAACAGCAACACAGCAGGATTATGCAACACACAAAAATTGCAAATTTTCCAAAAATTTTACAATTCAATACGAGATATCCGTCAAATGCAATTATGTTTCAGCTATATAGTATCCAACGTTTGTTTATATACGTAGTTAAGGCAAGTAAACAGCAAATAAACAAAAAGATCAGCTGCGATAAAAAAACACTTCTACTCAGCCATAGGGATCTATAGGGATCAAAAATTCAAATTAAAATCAAAGACCACAAGAATGTCATTAATTACAAAAAAAGAGAAACATTTCCTGGAAATTATTTTTATACCAAAAAAGGAAAACGTGCAGTAAAACTTAAGAAGAAAAAACAAACATTACTTTTCACGACGATACCTTCTTCATTAGACCCAGAAACACTCGTCGAATGCGAACTCTCTGTCGAATCAGTTAGATCAGAGTCCGTTTCTTCAGATTCCGAATTTGTGGGTAGACCACTGCTGCCACTACAACTACTACTGTAGCCGGATGTTGAGGCAGCGGCACTTGTTGAAACTAAAGATGTGTTGTGGACAGCATTTACAACAACACAAAAAAGTAAAACGATACAAATTTCAAGAAACAAATAACAAAAACAAAAAGGGGAAAGTAGACACAAGAATCAAAAGGAAATGTGGAGAGAACAACAAAATCATCCATCAAGTTATAGTTTAGACATCAATATGATGTAGATAGAGAAAATTATGTAATCGTAATGAAAACATGTGAAATTTAATTGATTATTGTGATAAAGATGACATTGATAATGGACCATAATCGAAATGATGTAGACATGAGAGACGCACGCATCGTATCGTAAGAGAAACAAAAACTTATAATGAATTATGGAAAACAAATGAAGAAATGCTTAAAATGGTATCGAATGGAATCATAAATGAAATGGAAATACATTGAAAATGTATTTTTTATTAACGGCCATGGGACCCTAATGAAGAGGCCGGCAAAGGACAAAATAAAACAGATATCGACAAATCATAAGAACATTCCACATATATGTATCCCACAGGAAGGCAATAATAAATTTATACCCCCACATACATATACAAATACAAAACATTGAAAAATAATAAAGAAAAAATATTAATAAAATTATTGAATATTGGCTTAAAACTTTGGAGAAGTCAAAAATATAAAATAATAAATCAGCAATTAGAAATTGTTTTTCTTATTCTTTTGGATAAATATAAGCTGAACATATGTTGATTAATAGATCTCACTTCATTTTCCAAGGTTTAGTAAAAATTTACCTATCGACCATGGTTTCATAAATACGGTTTATGCATATATATATAGAAATATGTATATAGAAATTATACAGGGTAAGATGAAAAATCTGCAAGGACTTCTGTCATTCCTAAGACACTCGTCCGACAGCTTTTAAAATTATTCCACTGAGAGCTCATTATATTTTGGTGAGAATTTTCCAGAAAAAAGTTATTCGTTATGGAATGTGATAGTGTGATTTCTTTATATTTGGCTGAAATACCACAAATGGCTATCGTTAGAGCACTCCGCTCGTTACCGTGATACTGGTTGTTGTTGTAGCAGTAGTACATGCAAGTGATTGCGTTCTGCTAATCTGGTTCCAGCTCCAGGTTTAGACATTCGGTTACTTTAATGGGCTGTAGCCATAGATCTTCTGAAGTGAGTTGGGTAGGTTTGGCTGTGCAATTAAAGAGGTGCAGCGTATTGTTCGGGCCTGTATCACACGCCGGACAGGCCTCACGCACATCTTCATCAATTCGTGCCCAATACGAATTGAGACGACTACCCCATCCTGAACGTAATTGCGCCAAAAACTACCCTGGTTTGTCTAGGCAGCTGACGTTCTTCAGCTGCAATGGATGGGGGTGGACTCCGAGGACGACACTAATTTGATAACTGCTAATAGCATCCGCGAATGCATCGGTATGAATGATACTGATGTGGACGGAAGAAAACAGCAACATCAACAGAAATGGTTCGCAAAGTAAGGCAGCGACTTGATCGAGACCCGCGTCGCAGTGGCCGAAAAATGGCTCGTGTGTTGAACACAGCACGCGCCACCCAAGAATGGTAACAAAATGAGGTTCCTCGCTTCATTTCCAGCGCACAATGGTCACCAAAATCTCCGGATACCAATCCGTTGGACTATTGTGTCTGGAGTATTTTGGAAAGCAAGGTTGGCACTAAAAAATACCAAAATGTGATCAACTCAAGCAAGCGCTTCGCCGGGAATGGGCCAAAATACCGCATAGCAAGCAACATTCGGGCAGCGTGTGACGGTTTCTTTGGCCGTTTGAAGGCCATAATTCGTGCCAAAGGTGACCAATTCAATAAAAATTGAAAAAAATGTAAAAATTATGGCGTTTGCAGTTCTTCTTATCTCACCCTGTATTGCCAATAAAATAAATTAATTTTTTCAATATTCAAAAAGGAGATACATATAATTAATCTGTAATGGACTAGATTTAAAAAAATGCGTTACACTCTGATACAATCTATACTTCTTATTCATTGCTAAGCTTTTATAGAGCGATTTACAAATATATTTATACAATTTGGAATTTTCTTCGGAAGGTCCTAATGAATTTGGTTTACAAAAAAAAAATGACCAAGGTAATTTATTGATACATACACCTTATATTAACTCAACTTGATTAGGGACTAAGTGACCTTAAAATATTCGAAACCGAACACTATTCTAACATAATTATCGAATAATAAGTGAAATTTCACAATCTCTAATGATAAACTGCAGATTTCTAGGATCATTAAAATTGCAATTATATTTATTGTCCTCACTAAAAAATGTTCTCCAAACTTCCCTCCTTGGAAAAACTTACCATTAGGATGGTCCTTATTATTATCAGGTCGAACTTCAACACGTATAATTTTGGGTGGTGTCTTATCCATATGATTTTCAATTGTATCTGAGATTCGACTGTAAATTTAAAAGAAGAATTCCAATAATTAGTAAATATCGGGTTTCTTTATCGAATTTCCTACCTGATTTGACTAGATGGCCTTCGTTTAATACGTTTGTTATTGGCTCGATATTCTTCCAAATATTTAACCATTTTACGATCGGCCACATCGATACACGTCTGACCGGCATAATTATGGGCATCCATATCGGCCATGGCATCGAGCAGCATCTGGGCTGCCTCCTTTTGGCCCCAATGGGCGGCAGCATGCAATGGTGTCCAACCATCGTTGTCTTGAGCATCAACATTAGCACGTCCAGCGAGCAGTAAACTTAAAACCTGTAATTATAAATATGAAAATTTTAATTTTAATTTTTAAGATTGAAGATAATGGATCACAGAAGTTCAGAAGTCTTAGATTGGGAAGATTTCTTCCAGTTTTTCTATTGAAAGAAAATTCTAGGTGTCTACAAAAACGTCAAACAAGAAAGGAAAGTTAAATTCTGGCCTTCTAGAGAGAAGACCTTCTACTTTTTCCTTGAGGGAAACCCTTTTGGCCTTCTTTGAAAGTAGACCTTTTTTTATATTCTGTCAAGAAGAAGTCGTTCTGGCCTTCTCTTAAAGAAGAAGGCAGTCTGGTCTTCTAATCGAAGTAAATGAAAGAATGAAATGTTCTCTAAAGAGGATGACCACATGAAGAAGATGACTTTCATGAAAGAAAGATTTCTGATTTTCTATGAAATACATCCTTCTGGTCTTCTATTAGAGAAGAGCTTCTGGTTTTCTATTAGAGAAAACTTTGTGGTCTTCTTTGAAAGAAGACTTTCTATCTTTTTTGAAAAAAAAAGAACATTGTCGACTTCCATAAAAAGGATCTTCTGGTCTTCCATGAAATAACCCCTAAGCATCTATGAAAGAAGACATTCAGCCCCTCTAAGGAAGAAGACCTTCTGGTCTTCTATTAAAGAATGTCTTACGGTCTTCTATGAAAGGAGAACACTTGGTCTTCTAAGAAAGAAGAACTCTTAGTCCTCTTTGGGAAAAGGTCTTCTAGTTAAAAGAGAAGAACTTCTGGTCTTGTTGGAGATAAGACTTCCTGGTCTACTTTGATAGAGGACCCTCAATTCCTCTTTGAGAGTTGACCTTTTGGACTTTAATGAGGGAAAGCAGAAACCTTCAGGGCTTCTACCGAAGAAGAAGATTTTCTGGTCTTCTTTGAGCTAAGACCATCTGATCTTCTAAGGAAGAATATTCTGTGGTCTTCTATTAAAGAAGAATTACTGGTCTGCTTTGAGAAATGAACAATTGATCTTCTTCTATGCGAAAGGACCTACGGGACTGGTATGAAAGATGAACTTCTGGTCTCCTTTGAAAGATCTTTTGATGTTCTTGATATTCAATGGAACACGACCTTCTGATCAACTAGTGAAGGCCTAGTGGTCTTTTGTTTAGTATTCTAATGCGGAAGACTTTTGGTCTTCTAAAAAAACAGATCTTCGATATTGTTCTTGAATATTTTTTGGCCTTCTATTAAAGAAGAATTACTGGTCATCTATGGAAACATTTTTTCTGGAAAAATGAACAATTGATCTTCTGAACGACGGAACTGCTATGAATTTTTGGTCTTCTTTGAGAGACCTATTGATGTTCTTGATATTCAATGGAACATGATCTTCTGGTCAACTAGTGAAGGCCTCGTGGCCTTTTGTTTGGTATTCTGATGCGGAAGACCTTTAGTCTTCTATAAAAACAGATATTTCGATATTTTTCTTGTCTTCGGAAGTAGGCGACGTGCCGGTTTTCCGAAAAAGAAATTTTCTTTTTTCATGGAAGAAGACAGACGGAAGTAGACTTTTCGAACTTCTATTGAAGATGATGTCCTGATGTTATTTTAATAAGACAGTCTTCCTGCCTTCGGATTTTCTGACTTCTATAAAATACCTTGTGGTTTTCTATAAAAAAAGGACCCTTCTGCCTTCTAAGGAAGATGATCTTCTAGCCTTTCACGAGAAATCGAGCCATTGGGTTTGAAAGAAGATATTCCGGTCTTCTATTTAAGTCGATTTGTCGGAAAGCCATAATTTCTTCTCTATCACGAGACCGACCTTCTGATCTCCAGTACTAGGACGTCATTAACTCTTCTATATTTTTGTATCCAATTTAGAAACCAAAAAAAGAAAAAATCACCGCACCTTTGTATAACCCTTTGCTGCAGCAACGTGCAGCGCTGTTGCACCCGTCTTCGGATGTGGTCTATCAATTTCGGCAGCATCGCTGCGCAGCCATTTTTTGGCATCGGCCAGCATTTGTTGTTGTTCGGCTTGGCGGGCTTTGGCGCAATCAATTTGTTGTTCGGCCACCATTTTTTGCATGAAATCAATCATGGGCAAATGTTGGATGTCGACAGCCAAGTCCACGGCTAAATCACCATCGCTATTGACGGCAGCAACATCGGCACCATGCTCCACCAAATAGCGTGCTATGCTCACAAAGCTGCAAGAGAAAAAAAGGGGAAAATTAATAAATTATATAAATGGAGGGGAAAGGGAGGAGTTTAGTTTGTAGAAATGATATGAGATGGAAGAATAGTTTTGACATAATTATCAAAATATGGCTTTCGGAGTTATTGACAATTTTGAAAGCACTTTAGTCGATATTTTTTGCCTAGAAATTTTTTTAATTTGATTTTTTTTTGTGAAATGAAAATATATGGTCTTTCTGGGATAGGAAAATTCTACAGTATATAAATTATATGGATTTAATTAGAGATGCATTGTTTTGATTTCTGAAGATGGATTCTAGGTTTTAGTAAATTGCGAAAGTAAACTAGTAGGGAAATTGTCTTATGCACTCCAGGCATAATGGACCTGATATACCCCTGTAGTGCTTAAAACCCCCCATCTTTAGGATAGCTAGCAAGACTAAAAAACGTTTGTAGTGTTGACACGAATCTTTCTAGGAAATGGCTACTAAAAGGGGTACTTTCGATCCAATTTATGAAAATATAATGGAAAATTTACAAATTGCCCTATATATCTCTCTCTTGAACCCCATTAATCCCATGATGTCCGCTGTAAGGGATAGCGTTGATGGCAATGTTACAGACACATCTGATGGTGAAATAATTCATAATTATGCAATTTTTGGTATTTCGTTTAAAGTTCTGAACTTTTGCTGTTACGGATGAGGGGATAGGGGAAACATTTGTTGTCGTTATTCTTCGTGTAATCCGTTTATTTGTTTGTTTTAGCCGCAAAATCGACAGACGAAAAGAAGAAGAGGAAGAAGAAAAAAAGAAGCAGAACAACAAATGTTTGGCACATATTTCGATATTTATGTATTTTGAATGGAATAGTGGGACCAGAGTGTGTGTGTGTTGGTGTGTGTTTGTGATACATACCCGCATGAGGCTGTGGCGTGCAGGGGTGTCCAACCTTCGTTGTCTTGTCTGTTTATATCGGCGCCTTGTTCCACCAGAAATTCGACCATTTCTAGATTATCATCGATGCAGGCCTGCAATGACAGCGGAAAAAGAGAAAAAAAGAAATACGAAATTAATATTTTCAAAACAAACAAATGCCAAAGAAAATCTCAATACATTTAAATAGAAAAAATTGTTTTTCAACAGACAATATCATATGCAGGTTGTTGTGTTTAGTTACATAAAATTCTAAGCATTTTGTTTTTCTTCCCTTTGAATTCGAACCGCTGCAACAATGTATTGTAAGCGGATTTGCTACTTAGCTATTAGCAAAGTCAAACGAATTGCAATCGCCAAACGATTCCGAAAAGGTGGACTGATGCCTCCGGAAAACCTACTTTTTGTAAATCAATCGAGAAAATTTTGGTTTTTTTGATTAAGGTTTTTTTAAATCCCGCAAAAATATTATTTTTAAATCCAAGCGAGAGCATTTTTTAAATCCATTCTTGTGAATATTTTTATACGCCCCTCCATATTATAATAAGGGTATATTAACCTTGATATTCCGTTTGGAATTCCTCGACCCTATAAAGTATATATATTCTTGATCAGCGTAAAATTCTATATCGATTTAGCGATGTCCGTGTCGTATCTGTGTGTGTGTCTGTCTGTTGTAATCACGCTATCTTTTGAACCAATTGTGATAAAAGATTACAAATCTGAACACATGTGTATTTTCCTCAGTAGGTAAATTTACTTCCAAAATTGACCATGTCTGTCCACGTAAAATGTGAAATAAGAGTCCGATTGTCTTCAAATTTTACACATCTCAACATTTTCATTAACACAAGATCTGGCGTGAGGAGGGAATATGTCGCCCTCTGGTACCTCCCCCACAACGGGTCAAAATTTTAAATAATTATATATTTCATAAAAAAGTGAAATAAGCCTTCCATTCTCCTCAAATTTCCCAAATGAAAAAACTGCAACAATCTTTACACTGCTGTGATTTCTAAGCCACTCGTCTGACTGCTGTGAAAATTATTCCAGTGACATCTCATTATATTTTTTTCAAGCGCACAAAAGCATTTTGGTGAGAATTTTCTAGAAAAAAAGTTATTCGTGATGGAATTCAAGCGTGATAGTGGGATTTCTTTATATTTGGCTGGAAAATCACAAGTGGCTATCGCCAGAGCACTCCAGCATTTAAATGTGAATAAGTCTTTTGTGTCTCGTACCATCGCTCGTTACGGTGATAATGATAGTGTAGCCCGCCGTCAAGGAAGCGGACGGAAGAAAACAGCAACATCAGCAGAAATGGTTCGAAAATTAAAGAAGCGACTTGATCGAAATCCTCGCCGCAGTGGCCGAAAAATGGCTTGTGAGCTGAACATATGGCAATATTTTATTCGGTAAATATTGAAAAATGAGCTCGGGGTAAAGCCATCAAAATTCCAAAGTGCAAGAACTTACTCCGCAACAGAAAAAAGTAGACTCAAAAGAGCTAAAGAATTGCTACGCTTAGCCGAAAGTGGTGAACTGTCGAAATTGGTTCGCTCCGATGAGAAAACATTCGTTATCCAGCAGTTTGTAAACAAACAAAATAATCGTGTTTACTTGCCAAAGATGTCAGCTGAAAATTTGCACCCTCGGTTGGCCACCAGAACTCAAGCGCCGGCCATGGTGATGGTGTAGGCCGCCATAACACCCGATGATCGCTCTCCGCTCGTATTAATCGACCTTGGCATCAGAAAAAATGCCGAATATTATAGCGAAAATATTCTGGAGGGTGTATTAATGACTTGGGCCCGTAAACATTTTGGCCGCAGATCTTGGATATTTCAACAGAACTCAGCACCTTCGCACTTAGCACGCGCCACCCAAGAATGGTTACAAAATGAGGTTCCTCGCTTCATTTCCGGCGCACAATGGCCACCAAAATCTCCGGATACCAATCCGTTGGACTATTGTGTCGGCAGTTTTTTGGAAAGCAAGGTTGGCACTTAAAAATACCAAACTGTTGATCACCTCAAGCATGCGCTTCGCCGGGAATGGGCCAAAATACCGCAGAGCAACATTCGGGTAGCGTGTGACGGTTTCATTGGCCATAATTCGTGCCAAAGGTGACCAATTCGAACAAATCTAAACTTATTCTAAAATTTAATGCTATTTCCGACACATTTTTGTTTCATTCAATAAAATTTAAAAATGTAAAAATTATAGGATTTGACATTGTTGCAGTTTTTATCTCACCCTGTATATCATAAAAAGCGAAATAAGCCTCTCATTCTCCCAAAATTTCCCAAATCCCAATATTTTTATTAACACAAGATATGATGTGAAGGTGGCAGATATCAGTCCAGTCTATGTGGTACTTCCCCCACAACGATTCAAAATACTGAATAGCTATGAAGTTCGTAAAACCCAAATGAACATCCGATTCCATTTTAAGCTCGGCACATCTCAAAATTTAAACTAACACAAGATCAGCTGTGAAAGTGGAATATATCGGACCAGTTTTTCTTGTACCTCCCCCATCATAAATCCTTCATTAAAAGCGAAATAAGTCTTGTCGATTGTCTTCAAATTTCCCAAATCCCAATATTTTTATTAATTCAAGATCTGTTGTGAAGGTGGGGTATATCGGCCCACTCGTTTATTATATTATTATTATTATTATTATTATTATTATTATTATTATTATTATTAGTATTATTATTATTATTATTATTATTATTATTATTATTATTATTATTATTATTATTATTATTATTATTATTATTATTATTATTATATTATTATTATTATTATTATTATTATTATTATTATTATTATTATTATTATTATTATTATTATTATTATTATTATTATTATTATTATTATTATTATTATTATTATTATTTTATTATTATTATTATTATTATTATTATTATTATTATTATTATTATTATTATTATTATTATTATTATTATTATTATTATTATTATTATTATTATTATTATTATTATTATTATTATTATTATTATTATTATTATTATTATTATTATTATATTATTATTATTATTATTATTATTATTATTATTATTATTATTATTATTATTATTATTATTATTATTATTATTATTATTATTGTTATTATTATTATTATTATTATTATTATTATTATTATTATTATTATTATTATTATTATTATTGTTATTATTATTATTATTATTATTATTATTATTATTATTATTATTATTATTATTATTATTATTATTTTGTTGTTGTTATTATTATTATTATTATTATTATTATTATTATTATTATTATTTTGTTGTTGTTGTTGTTATTATTATTATTATTATTATTATTATATTATTATTATTATTATTATTATTATTATTATTATTATTATTATTATTATTATTATTATTATTATTATTATTATTATTATTATTATTATTATTATTGTTGTTGTTGTTGTTGTTGTTGTTGTTGTTGTTGTTGTTGTTGTTGTTGTTGTTGTTGTTGTTGTTGTTGTTGTTATTATTATTATTATTATTATTATTATTATTATTATTATTATTGTTATTATTATTATTATTATTATTATTATTATTATTATTATTATTATTATTATTATTATTATTATTATTATTATTATTATTATTATTATTATTATTATTATTATTATTATTATTATTATTGTTGTTGTTGTTGTTGTTGTTGTTGTTGTTGTTGTTGTTGTTGTTGTTGTTGTTATTATTATTATTATTATTATTATTATTATTATTATTATTATTATTATTATTATTATTATTATTATTATTATTATTATTATTATTATTATTATTATTATTATTATTATTATTATTATTATTATTATTATTATTATTATTATTATTATTATTATTATTATTATTATTATTATTATTATTATTATTATTATTGTTATTATTATTATTATTATTATTATTATTATTATTATTATTATTATTATTATTATTATTATTATTATTATAAGGTTTTCTATAATAAAATATCTTAAAAAGTCTAAAAAACCCTTTAAAAGACATCCTGGCTTTGGATTTTTAGAAGAAGACGTTCACTAGGTCATCTGTCTGTAGAAGAAGAAGAAGTTTGGAATATCTTCTCTTTATAGCAAAACATTTTTTTGTAGTTTTCCTATATATTTTCTAATTTGAAACCTTTGAAACCTTGACATTTACTACCATCATCGGACCAATGATGGTCATCATCATCAGTACCGTGCCCTTAGCAAAGGCGTAAACAATTCATCATTTTTCATTGACGCTTCAACTGGAACACGCTTTTTGACGACGATGTTGTTGTTGCTGTTGTTTTGCATCGATATCAAAATAACGTCATAAAAACGCCAATCTCTTTCCCTTTAAATAGACAAACTAACATTTAGTTACTTGCAATCGATCGATCGATGGAGAACAAATACGAAAAAAAAACGCTTATCAAAACTCCATTTCAATTGGCAATTTTGTAACAACAAAAACGACAACAACAACAACAGAGCAAAGCGTATAACGTCGAATTGCATCCCCAACACAGAACTGTTTTTGTGGCTGGCTGACAGGTATATGGACGTCATTTGAATGAAAACAAACCGGCCAGCAGCGGCAGGCAGGCAAACAGCCAGCAACAATGCCAAAAAACCACATAACACGCGGTGGTGTTTTAGCAACAGGCTTGACTCGCTGACGGTCCGGCTGACTGCTCGCTTATTCGCTCGACCGGCCTGGTGGCATAGGGTGTAAAATAGTGGTGAATAGGAAAATATAGTTATAATAATAAAGTGCAAAAAATAACAACAACAACGCGAACTGATCGATGTAAACAATACCCCGATATAGCTGGCAAATGCCGACAAAATAATCTATGGGGACAGCAATGGGAGGATCGTCGGGGGGATTGGAAATTTATAAATATTTCTTATTTAGAATTTGATCGCTAAATTCAAAACAGCAAAAAAATGCATTTGCCCCTTATGGCGGCTGCTGGGCCGAAAGTGGAGCTGTTGTTCAGCTGACAGACACAGAAAAAAAAACAGACTGAGTGGCAGGGAACACGAGTTGCT